CCAAGAATGCTGTTGCAGATTAGTGCCTCAAGCACAAGAGATTTGTCAGGGCTGGGGAAAACGTTAAGTTGAAGTGTTAGGTGCCCCTAGATAAGTGTTGATTGTATAAAGGTGTACCATGAAAGAATTTAGAAAGAAATGTAGAGTAAAGAGAAATGTACCGTTAATTCTAAGTATAGCTTCTGACTGCGTATGAAAGGTGCTAGGTCATAGTGACAACAGATCACATGCAACTGGAGTCTGGGCCTTTTGGGCTCCAAATAAGAATTCTTGTACTATACGCTGCATACAGTTACATTCAAGAAAGCCGATGGCGATTTACTCACAACAGTGTCAATCTTGTTACTAAGTTACTGTCGCCACTTATTGTCAGCTTCCTGAATTTCCTACTTTGAGGTTAAAATGGGTGGAATCTTCCAATCCTGGAGGAAGTGAGGTAGGAGGTGGGATGTGGAATTTGGTTAGGAAGTGAGGAGGCGTACGCAGTCTTTGATGCCTTCCTACCTCCAACAGAATTAAGTTCTGGACAGAGGGATCCATGGATAATCTTCTTACCATGCTAAAATTTGAGGCCCTTAAGTGGTAAATTGACTAGCACACAAGAACCTCAACCTGAAGTCACTGCTGAGATAAACCCAGCTGCAAGGGACTCTTCAAACCAACACTTAACTGCAGTATTTCCTTGTCAGCTTCTGTTCAAATCATAGGCACTCACAGTGGCTGATCAAGGCCGTGTGTGTAGATGGGCATTAGGAAGGGAGGTGGGACTGAGAGGTAGTGAGGTGGGCCATTTCCTCACTTTGTTTTTGACCTCTTTCCCCCTCTCCCTGTCTATTTGCATTTCCCCCCAGGAGCCTGACCCCAATAAATCATCTCCCATAAGTCTGGGTCCTTGGTTTCCAGATTAGCATTCTTAACTATTGCCCCGTCTTCAACAACTAACTGCCAAGCTTCAGATCTGTTGGCCTTTTTTATGTCCACTTGACAGGCCAGACCTGAAAGGTGACAATGCAGCACTCCCTTGGTGTTACGTTGACTGTTCCTTTCCTTCAGATGCTGCCTGGCCTGCAGTGTTCTTCCAGCCTCCTGTTTGTCTACCTTATCAATACCATGATGTTCGATAAGGGCCATAGAAATGTCACCTTTGGAGGAGGCCAGTTGATCTGACTCTGTCACTGCCTGATCACATTGAAGCATGTCTCGTTTAATCCCTTCACTCTTCCTCTGTACCTTTTACTATTTCTCGTTTTCCTGTTTATCTAATCCCTCCTTAAATTCATGAATGAGTCAGCTTGAATAGTTACTCAGTGGCATTACGTTCCTCATTTTAATAATCCTTTGTTTGAGCAAAATTTCTTCGAACCTCCTCCTTCGTGCTTTGCGTGCCAATCCTAAATTTAGGATCTTTGTTGCTGTTTCACTGACTTTAGTGGGTGTAATCGTTCCCTGCTTAACCTTTCAAAATGTTGAGGTAATTGCAGCAAAATCTAGGGGAGAATAAACAAAGCATTAGAAGTAAACATCGCAAGAGCTCGTTTTTGCTTCGTGAGATGCTATGCTTAAAGAATCAGTTGGAGGACTGTTTAGGGGTAAATTCAGTGATCCTAGATTCTCAGTGCGGAACATGGTTAAAGGTAGTACATTTGGGACAATGAACATTACCTTGTTACAGTGACCACCCTCCCCGACTTCTTGATTGTAGTTGTGCATGATGTGCAGACTCAATAAAATCTAATTCTGATATTTGCTTCCGGTATACATGAGATCATTAAAATATATAAATTACGTTTGTACAACGATGTCTTACAAGACTAAATATTGGAACATCGGAACAGGAGGAGGCCATTCAGTCCTTCCAGCTGCTTCACCAATCAGTTAAATCATGGTAAATCTGTATTTTAACTCCAACAATGTGCCTTGGATGACTTTAAGTAGCCTTAGAAGTGAGCTATTCTTTACTGTTTAAAAAAAATGGACCGTTTCTGTTGAGTAGGGTTGGCGTTTGTCTCTGCATTTATTGTGCGACAGGAGAAGTAGGTTAAGAATTCATTGCTAGTCAGTCCATGTAATATGCACTTTATTCTGTCGAAGCTGCCTGATGTAATGAGCATGCATCCAGACAAATTATGTTAAATTCTCAGCATTGTAGCTACTTTATTAATACCGTTATGCTTTAGTGATGTGTGTTATTTGCTGAAAGCAGCTTAAGTATAAGGCATTTCCTCAGACTGTATAGATTTGTAGTTACATTAAAATGTCACAACGAAGTATCTTTACTGATTTTCTCATTACATCTCTCCAGTGCTTTATTGGAAGTTGGCGGTGTTGATTTGCTTTTGAAGCATATATATTTATGTGCACATGTTTCTATTTTTAACAATTAGTATGTATTGTGTATATATTTGTCATTCTTGTTTAATTATTTTGTTTGCTTTGCATGGAAATCCAGTTGAAAATTTAAATAATTTTGGGACATGGCATACTTGGACAGTCTCGTGGTGCAATGGGTCACTTCTCTCTCTCTGGACCAGAAGCTCAGGGTCCTACTCCATGGCTTTGTGGCCAAGGAAGGAGCCTTGATGTTGCAACCATGTATCAACCTGTAAGTCCCTCCAGCACGAGATATTGGCAGGCTGTGGGAGCAGGAGAGATTTCTGGTCAGCCAAGTGATGGAAACAATTTCGGTCATCATTATTCCTAGCTCCAGGCTATACGTGCACCGAAAAAACATGTTGCTACAACAACTTCAACTGTTTGGGGAGTCAGTTTGCTGGATAGCCAGTGTGGATCAGATTCAAGTCAACAGCATGTGGTTGTCTCCTGTTCTGACTAGGGCAGATTTGGGAGCTGTCTCCTTACCCAATCCACGATGGAGATTGTGGCACAATGGGGCAGATCTGCCTTTTGACTCGGAAACTTAAGAAGAAGATATCGCACTTTACGTTGCTGCATTTTTCCATTGTGATGCTAATAAATCTTGCGCACACTTCCTGCTCCCACTTCATCTGTCACCATTTGTGCGTTTTGCTTTTTATATCAACTTTTTAAAAGAGAGTAGCCAACTCTGTGATTCCACAGACTGGCAACTGCCTGCACTCTCCAGCACCGTTCTGGCCAAAGTGTGAGAGATCAGAGACAGTTGGCATGATGGGCGATGACACCTGCTCTACGTCAAGTGCCCACCTTCAGTCCACTGCCGGAAAAATCTAGCTTCAGGTTGCCTCTGCTGGAAGGCTGGATTTTAGAGTTTCTCCCTCCAGAAATCTTCCAATTTTTGCCAAACCACATGAAGGAGGTATCATACCGGGTGAACTGAAAGCTTAGTCATAGAGACAGATTTTATGCAACACCTTAAAGGAAGAGCAAGAGGCAGAGAGACAGAGAGGTTTCGGGAGTGAATTCAAAGCATAGGCCCTAGGGGGATTGAACAAGAAAATTAGTGATGTGCAAGATGCCAGAATGGGGGGAATAAAGAGATTGAGGAATCCACAAGGATTGAGGGGTTGAGGAGGTAGGGAGGGGTGACACCTTGCTGAAATTTTGAAAACAGGGATAAGGATTTTAAAATTGAAACTGGGCTGCGAGTACATCACCATTCTCCTTCAAATTTTTAGGAATTCACGCCACTTCCCTGTTCAAGGTCAGTGAGGGATGAATGTTGAGGTTTGGAATGTTCAGGCATTCCTGGGAAAGAGCTGGGAATTCAGGATGATGAGACATCAGAGACGTTGAGTGCCAGCTGATGGGGAAGACCATGGGAGGAAAGGCAATAAAGCACATGGATGGAGAAGGCAAATTGTGGCTTTGGACAGGGAGGAGTGAGAGATAGATGAGTGACACTAGAAAGGACCAAAGAGCCGGGAGGACATAAATTGTACAAATCTCAGGGAAACTGTTTAGGGATGAAGCAGAAGTAATCAGTTTGAAAAAGAAAAGGAGTTGAACGGAACTTGTGGAAAGGGAAAATAACAAGGAATATAGTGCCAGCTGAATCAACAGATGATCAGTGGAGGTGACATGAAGAGCCTGACCTGGGGTTCAAGCCACCATTATATCCTACATCTGTACCTCAAACACACAAACTGCAGCCCTTCAGAACTATGTACTCTGGTATGTAATCAATCAATCCCTCCTTAAAGATAGTTTTAAAAAGTAGAGAGAAGCAATCAAGCAACAGAATGAGAGATGTAAAGAGATGTGTCATTTAAAGAGAGATGCATAAAGGGGAAATCCTGATGGAGACACATCAGAGAGTTTTTCCTGGTCGACATGGCTCAATACACCATCCTGTGGTCTATGTACCCTTGAGGTAATAAAAGTGTGAGTGGCAATCCAAAGTGGGTGTCATTTTAAGTTTGTTATTCTGGGCATCAGCGAGTGATTCAGTTTCTGAATGTACAGGCGAAAATTCCATAGCATTGCTGAGAGAAAGGAGTAGGGTTGGACTTTTATCCTCTGCTGTGTAGTGACATCAGCCATGTTAAGGGTGGGTCTGATTAACTATTCAGCAAATGGTACTTGTCCCTGCGGTGGCAGTATAGAAATGTGAGATCTGTGGAAGAGGAGGAACTTGAAGTGAGAAGTGGTGTGCTGCACTGGGGAAAAGAAAACATCTAAACATGATTTTATTCTTCCCTTTCCACGACCTGGAAGTGATTTCTGTTTTCTCCCTTATGAAGGCCAGAGCAGCAATGCACACCCATTCTCGACATTCTCACTGACCTTATCAAGGGTACTGTGGGAGGAGTTGCTACTGGGCACTGGAGTTGACACAGAACATTGCTCACAAAACAATAATGGGAGGGAAACCTAGTGATTCTAACCTCTTCCCTAAATTGCAAACCCTGTCCTACCCCTTCCCCAACATTCTTCACCCTGAAGTTATGGCAGAAATCCAAACTTTGGGTTTTGTAGAATCTCCATCTCTGTGTAATTTGGGCCACATTTTCTCTTTCATTGCAGATGCTAACTTTACCCATGGTGATTTGTGTTTTCTTTAGGGAACAAAACCTCAGGAGGAGTTCAATCCTGAGCAGTCAGATATTTTCCAGGAGAGTCATCATGCAGCCTTCCAGATGTAAGTCTATTATTATGTGAAGTAGACCTCTTTGTGTTGTTAGAGTACTTATTTGTAGTGATAGTCATTACAGTCAAGATAACCAGAAATGCAGTGACCTCATTAATGTTGCAAAGAATTTGTTTATTTCTCGAGCTCTTAACATTTGAAAATGTAAAAAGCTTTAAGACACAAGTGTTGTTAACTGCTGAATAATAGCACCTGCCCACGCTGTCTGCATTATTGTTGCTGTTAATTCATTTTTCAGGGGCTAATTATTTTAATAAGGATTTGAGAAATAATCAATTAAAGCAGTAATATCATGCAGCTTTCAGGTATATCTTGCTACTTTTCTGAACCTGGTGCTAATTACCCAAACAGTTCAGAAATGAAGAAATTAAAACAAGATGTTGAATTATCAATTTGATTTCCAAAACTTCCGTATAAAGCACACGCTTTTGCATCAGTGAAAAGATCTACCCAATAAGGACACGGCTTCACTGCTACTTCCATCTCTCTGAGTATAGCTTAGGTTGGATGAGTTGATGGGTGTTATTTTAACTATAGCATATTTCATAGCAGCACAGGACTCAGAAGCAGGAGTAGGCCATTCAGTCCTTCAAGCTTGTTCTGCCATTCAGTAAGATCATGGTAGATTGTGCGGTGGTCTCAACCACACTGTCAAGTCTGCCTAGCAGAACCTTTGACCCCCTTCTTTATCAAAGATCCATCTAGCTTGGGCATTGAATAAATGTCATGAGCCAGCCTCCACTGCTTTCTGGGGAAGAGGATTCCACACTCTCATGACTCTAAGAGAAGAAATTTCTCCTCATGCCTGTGTTAAAAGGAAGCTCCTGTATTCTTAGACAACAAGGTGCAGAGCTGGATGAACACAGCAGGCCAAGCAGCATCATAGGAGCAGGAAGGCTGACGTTTCGGGCCTAGACCCTTCATCAGAAAAGGGTATTCTTAAACTGCATCCTATAGATCTCATTGCCACAAGAATCACTGGATTCTCCAGTTTGCTTTATAGCCAAAGAGGCACTTTTTTGAAGTAAATGTATAGTATGTAGTTGCTGTTGTGATGCAGGTAACACAGCAACCAATTTGCACACAGCAAACTCCCACAATGAGATAATGATCAGATAATCTTTTATGTTGTGACGTTGATTGAGGGATAAATAGTGGCCAGGGAAAACTCTCCGCTTTTCTTCAAAATATCGCCATGGGACAATTTATATCCATTTAGGAGGGCAGCCGCAACTCTGTTTTAACATCTCACCTAAAAGATAGCACTCTCCCTTATTACTCCACTGGAGTTTCAGCCTTGACAGTTGTGCTCAAATGCTGAAGGAGTCTTGAAACCTACAAGCTTCTCAGAGGTGAATGCTGCAGACTGAGCCACTAGTAATTGGATTCAGTGGTGATGTACTAAACTAGACACAGATCCTTTACATAATAGTTGCTGTCTTTGCCTTCCATATATCCACCTCTTACCTACTATCCAGGAGTCCGAGCAGCTTTCTCTTTATAATTTTGAACAGAAACACAGAAATATGGAAAATAGGACCAGGAGTAGATCATTTATCCCCTCAAGTCTGCTCCACCATTCAATATGATCATGGTTGATCATCCAGCTTAGTACCCTGTTCCCACTTCCTCCCCATTCCTTCTGATCCTTTTATCCTGAAGAACTGTATCAATCTGATAAACCAAGAATAACCAATGAAAACAACAGGACTAATGAAAAAAAAACTTTATGACAGTCCCTTAAATAGGTACCTTGACACAAACAGAAACCTATCAGATGAAATCAAAAATATAATTTTGTAGGGAGATGAAGCACCCCTGTGATGTCCACTGGTCGCAGAAGCTAACTGATAGACACTGCACACTCACTCTTCAGGCACGCTTTGGCGTTAAGATAGCCATGGAAAAGGGGCAAGCGGTCAGGCCAAACCATCCCCTTAACCAGGCAGTGCCTGGACCTGTTAATGGCCACCGTGGTCAGGCTCCAGAAACAGGCTGTAAAATAAACCCTCCTACCCACCCACCCACCACATTGCCTCTCCTTATACTCTTTAAAAAGATTAAACTAACCAAAACAAACTTAAAGGAAACGGCTCCTTAAAGGGTCACAAAAATCCTAATTTTAAAACCAACTTTAAGTTAAAATGTAATTGTCGGCAGAGAGAATGCACTGCAGCTCCTGTGCCTACCAATTGCCTGAGGCCTCACGTGTCCCTTACGTTGGGTGTGCCCTATCCAAGGTCACTCAATATGTAACTGTGGAAGAGAGCTAGGCAGTCGGGTCTCACATACACCTCTATTGGCTGCACCTGTTTATGGCCACCTTGGCCATGTACCAGGAGCAGGCCAACAATGAGGTCCCCTTACCCACCCACCCCACAGTGTCTGTTTATATCATTGTCAATACAATGTGGAGCTGGAGGAACTGTCCTGATGAAGGGTCCTGACCCGAAACATCGACTTTACTGCTCCCCTGATGCTGCCTGGCCTGCTGTATTCCTCCAGCTCCACACTGTATTGACTCTGACTCCAGCATCTGCAGTTTTTGCCATCTCTTTATATTATTTTTTGTATAACAAATCCAAAACAATTGGTCCAATATGAATTTTCAAAATTAACCAGTCATAGTCGCTTAAAGTGTCACTGTAACATGAATCAGAAGTTCAGTGGTGACTTAATATGTTAAGATCAAGTGTTAATCAAATGACCTATAATGCACACCAACCTCTGTAGTGCCTAATGGCCATGGAAGGCCTCAAACTTGCCTATGGACACTGTGTTTCCTTTCTCCAGCAATATCTTGTCATGGAAGAAATGTAGAATGTCAGATATAACAAACCCTCTATGGCCTAGATAACAAGGTGTAGAGCTGGATGAACACAACAGGCCAAGCAGCATCAGAGGAGCAGGAAGGCTGACGTTTTGGGCCTAGACCCTTCTTCAGAAACTGCTTGAACCTGATAATGGTCAGCTCAAGAGCAAGCTAATAAGGAGGCCCTCTGCTCCACTTTCCCTACCCGGCCTCTCTTTTATACTATTTTGATTGATAAAATTAGCAAATGAAAAATTTACTTTTTAACTAAAAAGCTAGGCCTTAAAGTAGTATGTTGACAAAAGCTTGATTCTGGCAGAGGATGATGTACCCAGTCTCCTACAGTGCCAACCAGTTGTAGACTCCTTCATATATGTATCTTAACCATATAATTAACGTACTATTAACAGCAATGACTGACACACACCTCTTAGTAACATGCTAATTTCTGCACCTTAGATTATTTTTTGGTGCTCTGGTAACAATGGCATTTAGGTTTTTTTCTTCACCATGAGAATAGGTTCAAAGTACTTACTTAAAAAGTCAACTAGTGCTTCTTTATCCATTATAATATCATTTCACCTGTCTTTAATGAGCCCACATACCTCTTTATTGCCCTATTTTAATATATTTCTAAAACTAGTTTTGCTTGTTTCCTTGCATGTTTTGTTCCTTTTATTTTCTGCTCATCTTCCTAATTTCTTAATGTTTCTTTCTCCTTTAATAGCTCTTCCAGTCTTCAACATTTCCATTATCGTTAACGCTTGTGTAAGTTCTTTCCTTTAGTTTCTATCCCTCATCTCATATGTTAACCATGCTTGTTTAAAGACAAGAATAAAAGGCTTTGCCTTTTAGCAACATGTTTTTTGTTTAGTACTGTACCAAATAGTTCTTTGAATCCTTCCCATTATGTGTCTGTAGATTTAACCCTTCAGGTGTTTAGTGCTGTTTGCTGCAGTCACTTCTATTCTCATCCATTCAAAGTGTGCCTAATTTAAATTTAAAAGATTTGACATCTCCCAAGGTTGTGTAGGGTGTGTAATTAAATGGTGAAATGAAGGGAAAAAAATACACAGCGACTGATTGGGATCTGGAAAGCACTGCCTGAGAGTGTGGTAGAGGCAGATTCAATCATGGCTTGCAAAAGAGAATTAAAAAGTTGTTAAAATGAAAATGTTTGGAGGGCTAAAGCGGAAAGGAAGGGGAGTGGGACCAGCTGAATATCTCTGGCAGACAGTCAACATGAACACAGCATGACAAATAGCCTTCTTTTGTAGTGTAACCTTTTTACAATTTTATGATTCTAAGAGGTGTGTGTCAGCTATGGCTGTTAATTCAGCTCATTCTTTTCTTTTGGTGATTTTAGAACCAACTAAGCTCATTCCCTTTTTTTAATTGAATACCTGGTAATGTATACACAGCTTGGAAATCCCAGGTTCATCTTGGGCCT